CTCACTCATAAATACATTCCCTTGTTTCATTCCTGAATGATTCAGTGTTTTTTAATTAGTCGCTTGAGTGAGTGATTCAATGGCTCACTCGTAAAGATATTCGCTTCGTTTGTTCCTGAGTAAATAAAGCGCTTTGTGTAAATGATTCAAATGAACCTCTCATAAAGACACTTGTCTCTTATCACAACCTGTGGGTGTAACTTGCAGTAAGAGACAGTGAAAAATCCCCACTGCTAATGCACTAAACAAAGAGAAAATGCTAAAAATATTTGATAAAATAAGCAGTGCGTGATTTCAAAATCCTAGCATGTTATCATATCTTTGTTTTTCTTTCTTTCTTTCTTTTTCTTGATTTGATCATATTAAATAGATCTTACTTTTAAATCTTTCTGAACTGAATCTTCTATCCCAGATGAGGTAGGTGCTATTATTGTGAGAGGGATTGTGTATTGGGCGCTACAGTAAAGTCAAATGACACGTGTCATTAGGGCAGATGCTAAAGCCTCTGTCATCCTGTCACTCACAGAGGACCGGGGGGTTAGGGGGTCAAATGCTGGCCAGACAAGAGCCAAGGATGATTTCAGAGTCAGATTCTTCTTTTCAAGATGTTGGTGCAGTGGCCTGCCGAATCCGTCACAGCGGAACGGATCTGGGGGGATATTGGGATTATGATGAATGGCTCGAAGTATGATGAAGATAGATACATCATGGCTTTCATCTTGAAGTGAGGCACTGTGTTTTTCAGAAGCGCTGTCATTGCTCATGGAGGGAGAATATAAGCAGTTTCCTTTTGTCATTTCCACACTGGCTCAGTAAATGGCTAATATGCTGCTAATGTGGTGACTCAGGCCCTGTTATACCTGGTATTAAGAAGCGTTTTCGTCGATTGGATCACACGTGGACGACGCTAAATACAGGTTTAAATGGTGTCTAAAACATTTTGAGCCTGTCCACTTTCAACCACTTGCAGAGGTAGTCGAAAAAGCTTTTGACCGGATTGCTTTCGTGGTGTTGATGCTCGTGTGGGTGAATGCGTTTGAATGTGTCAGCCACAAAAGACTTCCTACTCTCCGCCTACTGACATAATGCATAAACATAATGGGAAGTGCGCTAGCCAGATGAGATTTAAACATTGTCGACTGAAGACCCAAGTTTGGTTTGAAGACGAAAATCATTCTAAGCACAATGTTCTCTCACCATTCTAACATGCGTTTAGCGTAGTCTTCCAGCTATCAGAGCAGAAATGAAAGCTGCTGCTCTCCATATGTTTTTCCGTTATCACCTTTCGCTTGCATATGTAAATTGCACAAGCTTATTTCATCCATTAGATCGAAAGATCTGAAAAAGCTCATACATTTACACGCCAATAGACCCTCCCCTTGAAGAAATCTGGAGAGATAATACTTGCAAAGCTGTAAATAGTGTTTGTTTGTGGATTAATATAGAGATACTGAAATAGAATTCTTACAGAAATGTATGATAGAAAGATTGTTGTGCATGTTCTGTATTGTATTTAGCCTATGTGCACAGTAGTCGATTGTCGAGTTCACGCGCGCGATCATTAGTTATATTAGTTACCAATGATCGCGCACGCGAACTCGACAATCGACTACTGTGGACTTCGAACGAAAACAGGAAGTAAATACAGGTATGTGAGCTGGCTGAATTAATATCATTTTTATTAATATCTTTCACATCTACTGCAGTCAGATTGACCGTGGTCACTCTTAATAACACCACTCACATGGCTGTGCACTTGTAATGACACAGTAAGGTTGTTAAGACGCTAAAAGCAGGTTTAGAACTTGCCCCATTGAAGTCAACAGGGTGCGAATTTTAAAAAGAGGATAACACGGTGTAGGCAACACTGATTTTTGTCGTTTTTGTCTGTACTGACAGCACTCCAAATGTACAATAAAATGAGCTCAATGTTAAAATTGACCGGAGTTCTCCTTTCATTTTATATTATTACACTGTGAAACTACAGCAAAAGATCAAGAAGTGCTGCGCAATCAGTTATGAAGGATTTTTAAACTTATCATTCACTAATTTTTTTTAACTATGGCTTCAGTTAGACCCACACAGACATCAAGAATCAGCCAATGAATCTCAACAATGGTGACAGTCAGCTAAAAAGATAACATCAAATCTGAACATTGTAAGGCCGTCTAATTCGATCCAATGGCGGTACTCGATTAGCGGTGAAGGTCTCACGCGTGTTCCGTCTCTTCCCATGGCAAAGGGATTTTTAATTAAATGCAATACATTTTATCTTATGTATTAACTCGTTTCATCTGACTCCATAAAATGAAATGGTTTTTCAATGATATCTGTGCATAATTAAATATATGTTAATGTTTGACTATTCCTTTTAACTCCAATGAAAACAAAGTCAAAGTCTGTTAGAATAATCAAATATAACAATTTATTATGTCAGGTAAATATATTATTACAATTCCATAATCAATTAAAAGATAATCAATGCAAACCATCAAATGTTCTAGAACAAAGAGGAAAATCCTTTACCCGACATTGTATGGCTACGTGAGCTGAGAGTCGCGAGACCCTCGACTACACGGGCTAATCTGAATACAGTAAACAGCCCCGAGCTCTCGTTGCATTTTCCTTATATAGCCAGACCTTATTTGATATGTAAAACATGAGTTTAGTGGAAATTTACTGTGTTCCCCCTCCATACTTACTGGGGGTAGAAGTTTGACTATCTGCTAAGAACAATGGAAATTAGCATTCATGAATTTACACCTTTGGGATGAGTGCCTAGAGACCACATTCCTTTGTGTGCCAATTATTCCTAAACTCTTAAAAACCTTATTACCTTTTGTTTTACTTATTTGGAAATAGAACACTTGTACCATTCGCACTGAGACATTTCAAATAATACTAAACACATATATAAAACTCTATGATAGTTGTTCAAATTAAAACCATATCAATTCTTGTGTGAGTGTGGGTGATCTCTGCAAGAGTGGGGGATGCGGGAGTGTGTGTGTGAGAGGTGTTCAGATGTTAATTTGCAAGCAAGGTCCTTTGTCTTATAGATGTGGTGAGGTTGATTCCTTCAACCAGTTCTTCCAGTCTTACAACATCACAAAACACGTTACTGTAAGTCAACACAAAACCAACAGCAAAAATAACAGCAAAAAGTACAAATTAAAGAAAATATCCAGACAATTCAGTTGCATAATTTATTCATGCTGCAATGCATGCTGGGAGTCATGGATTATTTTTTTGTACTATGCTGGTACCCAACATGCACTGCAACATAAAACTTTTGATTGTCACCATTGTTGATATTCATACGTTGCTTATTGATGTCTGTGTTTGTCTGGCTGATATAGAAGTTCTGAGCAAACATTTTTTTAAATCCTTCATATTTTCTGGTTGTCAAAACTCAGATCTGTAAAATCACAATGATCCCATAATCAAAAATATAAAACATTACCCATATAAATACATTAGACAATAAAAGAGATCAGTGAATCGGGCCACTAGATGATGATTGTGACCATTAATAAATAGTTACTGTCATCTGATCCTGTTTTCTTTCAGCTTTTCCGCCATAGCAAATGTATTTTAAAGACACAGCTACAGCAGCCAAAGAACAACTAATGTTCAAAAGTCAATGGTCAAGAGCCCAACTAAGGCAAACACTGATCACCATCATGGTAACATCAAATGAAAATAAAATTCCATCTAAACCTCTGTCACCTTTTAATAAGAACTTCTGTAGACGTCTGACAGAAAAAGTCAAACTGGTTAGTAATAAGTGAAGCTGGTAATGCTGTTTGTGGAGTTGTTTAATCCTCCTCTGCTAAGATCTTTTGCTAAGATTTAATGTCTTTTATCTTCAGTTGATTTCATCGTTTTTCTGTTCTTCTTGTTCCTCTTTCCTTCTGTGATTCTGCTTGTTAACAGCAGGTGTTCATCCTTGTCTGAATTAACTTAGAAAATGAACTGAATTAACTATGAAATGATTCACTCAGTCAAGTGGACTATATTAGTGAACTAGGGAATAGTGAATGAGGGTATAGGGTGTGATTTGGAGCACAGCTGCTGAGTGTCGACTTTGAGCACTGTTCATTTACAGTATATTCCTGTAGGCTACTTTCTCAAACTAAATATCACCCAGAATGCATTTTTTCTATGGTATATTCTGCTTTTTTAATGGAAAACATTTGGCCAATTTTTACAGTGTAGGAGAGGAGAAAGTGTGCCACAAGTCAAATAGCTGCCCACAAGGCTATGGCCCCAACAACATCATCATAATGTCATCATATTGTTTTTTTTTTATATATATCTATTTGCATACTTTGTGACTTAAAGCAGGATGATGCTCATTTCAGCAACAAAAACCTAAAACTTAATCTTACCTAAAACTTAAACACTATTATTTTAAGCATTTATAAATCCTTCAGGAATATTACAGTACATTTACATTTCAAATTTAGATTTTTATTGTGATCGATGTTGATTTAGCAGTAGCATCACAGTTCAGCTTCAAAGCCTTCTGAAATTAAGAATCATTGTTCCTTTTAATATTATTTTCAGCTTTATAGTGGTTTCTGTGCTGATATTGGATCTAATCAACAGCCTGTAAAAGCATATCGACAAAGAGCAGATATGTGTATGTGTGCGCTTGGGTCTGTGTTCCATATTAGTTTTAAAAGAGAAGTGGAAAATGTGACAGCTGTTGCCTAGGCGACCACCTCACACACTTATTTGACCATTTTCACCTGGACGTGTGACAAAAGCACAAATAGCCAAACCCCTGTGATGAATCCTGAAAGAGCTGCTGATTTCTGCTCAATGGTGAGGGGTCTATCATGGACAAATAAGTGTTTGGAGACAATAACTCATGTAAGGTCATCCCTGGCTTTCAGCAACTGTCCAGTTTTTTCTCTATCTCCCTTTTCTTTGCAATCATTTCTGCCATCTCAAACTTGATCAAAGCTCAATCACAATCTCTCGCTGTCTTCCAGCTGGCGACGTGGGACTCTGACCGTGGGCTGAACGGCAGTCTGAGGGAGAACCGGGCCGAGCATGGCATGCAGGGAGTTACTCTGAAAGTGGTGACCTTACTGGTGCGTATTTCAATGCATCTGATTCAGCTCCCTGTAGGTCCAGTCAATGCCTTGCTGATGTCAGGTTACTGTACAATCACTGTAAAATAAAAAGAATGACATAATTTTTATTCAGAAAGTAGGACTAGTTACTGGAATAAAATTCCTTTCAAGCAGTAATTTTCCCTCCACCTAAAATTAATTATTAAAGGTGCTATATGTATTTTTTAGCTGCCTCTATTGGTGATGTTTCAGATTGCAACCAATTTTTACAAGAGCGCTCATGCTCTTGCACTTGCTCGAACACAAGAGCGAGCACTCATGGTACCGGTGTTGTGCCGAATTTCGAATTCGAATTTCATAATAATTTGGCAGGGGGTTGAAATTCAGCACAACACGCAACATGCTGGAAACTCATGTAAACTCCCACTGCAACGTTACAATAATAGGCTACTTTTATCAGCTTGACGTTGAACTAATGCTCCATGCTCGTACCATGATAACGTTACATTGACTGCATTTAGCCGACATGTGGTGTTATCTAGCATAAGGCATTTCACTTACTATTCGTGTATCTTTCACAATCAGAAATGTCAACATAGGTGAATGTATAATATGATAACGAAAACGGTTAGTGAACTAGACTGAACAATTTCAGTGTAACAGTAAGATCGTAGGAAGTAACATTACTGTACTGAACGTGTCTGGAAATGTGTATTATAAACAATATGATAGTAGTGGGATGAGTGACGTTAGACAGTAGATCTAGTACATAAAATAAAAGTTACATCCTAAAGCTCCTACTTTTTGTTATCCTGGAACAGTCTTTTGTATTCATTTCATGTCTCATGTATGTTGTAGTTTACCTTGCTATTTCATTACAGTTTACCATTATTTCAGCATATCTGAAAACTTGTAATTTATCACAATAAAAATAGCGGAGGTCTCTCCATAATTCAAACGCTCTGCCGATGTTGATCTGTGTTTTCGTCCTAACGCCGGGTTCACACCGGACGCTGAAGCGACGCGGAACAGAAAATCACGCGCGGTCCGGCGCCTGCCTGTTCACATCAGACGCGTATTCTTCGCGGAGGTCGACAAGCGCTTCTGCTCAGTTGTTGTTTATTCAGAGCTATTTTTTTACATCATGGGTAAGTAAATAACCTCATAATATAAATACACCATGTTTCTGTAACCAAGAAGTTTGTACGCTTCTTTTATTAATCCGTTGTCGAGACACACGCAGCCAGAGAGAGAATATGGTAGACAGTTATAGTAGTGTATATATACCGTTGAAATATACATCCTCTCTTCAAATTTATTAAATCTATTTTCCTCTTCCTGTTTCCCAGTGCGAGTAGAAAGGAGGAGAGCCCTTGCCCTATATCTTTTGATTATAGGGTATTTTATAGGGTATTTTAATTTGAAAATTGCTTATATTTTGACAATTGACCGGATGGTCGAGTGTTTCTTGGTGTAACTTCCTGCCGGAATTGACGCGGATCACTCGTGGCTCGCGGAAAAAATAGACCAGACGCCGAAACTGGCGCTTCACGGCGTGTGCCGGCTGCACCGCGCTGCGGCGCTCCGCGTCTGGTGTGAACGACACCATAGGTTAACATGGGCGCCGAAAGGAAGCGGCCTTCAGCGCCGCTTCAGCGTCCGGTGTGAACCCGGCGTAAGGCGATCCGATTCACGTTTGGCCTGACGAGCTTCAGCATATAATTTTTGTTTTGTTTTTTATATTTATGTGGAGTTTGTGTTGGAGTGTGTGTTGTGCTGGAGGCAGGTCGTTTTTTGGTGTTATCAGACTCCATGTCGTTAGCTGCAGTGCCGTCGCATAGACTGTATATAAAAAGGAGAGAGGCTCGGGAGCGCGCATGCACGTCACATCCGATGGATTTCGCAGAAAATCCGACCCAGAGACTTCACATATAAATAGGAATACTGGCCTTCAGAGGTAATAGCAAAACCAGACAAGTAGATCATTGTAATGTGTGATTACAACCCCTTCACACACAGGCAATAAAAAACGGATTCATTTTAGAAGAAAAGTTACATATAGCACCTTTAATGAAAGAATGTTGTTTAAGGCACTATCCCCATTCCTAAGCTTAGATCTGATTGTTAGGTAGGAATGTAATTCCAGGGCCAGCAAGGGTAGTGATTGTTCTAGTCAATTCCCTGCAAGTAATGATAGGATGGTAGGAATGTTTTTCCAAGAACATGTCCTACATGTCTAAATGATGTGAAATGCAGAGAAGCATTCCAGTGTCATTTTAGTGTCATCACAGATAAAAAGACAGAGTATCATGAAAGAAAACACTTTTTTTTTTTTTTCTGAGTTGCCATCACAGGCTGCATGCAATAACATACACCAGGACCAGAGTAGTCCAATTCATGAACAGAAAGAAATATTTTTATTGAGAAAATAATATTTTTGTGATATATGATGAGACAAAACGACAAAAAAAACAGACATATTTCTTTCAGAAATATCATGAAAGAAAACAAATATTTTTTTCTGGAGTTGCCATCACAAGGCTGCATGCAATAAAATACGCCAGGGCCAGAGTTGTCCAATTCATGAACAAATGACTTTTAAATTGGTTCTTTTTAGGGAATTAAAATCATACACCTTTACAACAAGTATAGTTCTATCCATAAACGCATGATTCTTATGATCTGAATATTTTAATGAATTGTTCAAAAAGACTAAGAAACTTTCTATACTTTTATGAAAGATTATATCACAGTATACTTGAGTTTATCATTTTATAATTTTTTACACATTGTTATAATTACAAGAAATGCAATTTTAAAATATGCCCAAATGTATGAAAAAAAAATCTAATAAAATACAATCGAAATCTGAATTGAGTTGAGTTGAGAACTCAAGTCAGAAAATGTGTTGCTGTACGATATCATGGATCACAATCACATTTTTTTTTTTATGGCTGTCATAAACAGTATATGTTTCAACACAGTTGTGCTGTGTGGTTTTTGGCTTTTTGTCTCATCAGACATCAGTACTTTAGTCATGCAGAGAAGGTTTTCGCCAGGGATTCCTTTGAGGTTTGATCTTTATTTATTCTCCAGTCTATCAATGTTGTGCTCTCCCTAAATACAATTACAATTCACTAGCTTGAGCCTCAGATATTTCATCCATCTGTATTTGAGTGCACTGGGCCAGTTTCACAAACAGTGAGTCTTGTTTGGTGGCGATATGCCTTACTGCAAATTGCCCAGGTGAATTTAGAGAGGTAATTTCTGTCTGATGAGGCATTGCACGCTTCCCTGGCCATGGTGTAATAGGTCAGCTGAAACACTTAATTTAGATTAACCTGAGACCAAAGGGTCCCATCTGTCACTGGTAAAAGTGTCACGTCAGCCTATGCTTTGAATGTGACAGAGAGCCAATCTGACCACAAGTCACGACCTGAACAGACGGATTCACCACAGAAATAAGGTTTGCAGTCAATATTAAATCTTTATTTGTAGAAATATGTCCAAACCTATTAGTCAGACTGTTCTCTGGCTTCCCCTTCAAATGAATAAATGATTAGATTCAATCTAAATCTGTCTGACACTAACGCCAAATAATGCTATGTCAGCTTTTTGACCTGTCCATTACTGTCAAGATGCTGTGAGAGAGATATGTGAATTGTGAGCAAATAAGACTCGGAAATGCCATTGTTTGAAAACCTTTACAAATTAATCCTCTTGTATATACTGAGAATAAGATCAAACACTAAGTGAGAGACTATTCAAAAATTTGGGGTTAGTACGATTGAAAAAGAAAAATACAGGTCCTTCTCAAAAAATTAGCATATTGTGATAAAGTTCATTATTTTCCATAATGTAATGATACAAATTAAACTTTCATATATTTTAGATTCATTGCACACCAACTGAAATATTTCAGGTCTTTTATTGTTTTAATACTGATGATTTTGGCATACAGCTCATGAAAACCCAAAATTCCTGTCTCAAAAAATTAGCATATTTCATCCGACCAATAAAATAAGTGTTTTTAATACAACAACAAAAAAGTCAACCTTCAAATAATTATGTTCAGTTATGCACTCAATAGTCAATACTTGGTCGGGAATCCTTTTGCAGAAATGACTGCTTCAATGCGGCGTGGCATGGAGGCAATCAGCCTGTAGCACTGCTGAGGTGTTATGGAGGCCCAGGATGCTTCGATAGCGGCCTTAAGCTCATCCAGAGTGTTGGGTCTTGCGTCTCTCAACTTTCTCTTCACAATATCCCACAGATTCTCTATGGGGTTCAGGTCAGGAGAGCTGGCAGGCCAATTGAGCACAGTAATACCATGGTCAGTAAACCATTTACCAGTGGTGTTGGCACTGTGAGCAGGTGCCAGGTCGTGTTGAAAAATGAAATCTTCATCTCCATAAAGCTTTTCAGCAGATGGAAGCATGAAGTGCTCCAAAATCTCCTGATAGCTAGGTGCATTGACCCTGCCCTTAATAAAACACAGTGCACCAACACCAGCAGCTGACATGGCACCCCAGACCATCACTGACTGTGGGTACTTGACACTGGACTTCAGGCATTTTGGCATTTCCTTCTCCCCAGTCTTCCTCCAGACTCTGGCACCTTGATTTCCGAATGACATGCAAAACTGAGCAACAGTCCAGTGCTGCTTCTCTGTAGCCCAGGTCAGGCGCTTCTGCCGCTGTTTCTAGTTCAAAAGTGGCTTGACCTGGGGAATGCGGCACCTGTAGCCCATTTCCTGCACACGCCTGTGCACGGTGGCTCTGGATGTTTCTACTCCAGACTCAGTCCACTGCTTCCGCAGGTCCCCCAAGGTCTGGAATCAGTCCTTCTCCACAATCTTCCTCGGGGTCCGGTCACCTCTTCTCGTTGTGCAGCGTTTTTTGCCACACTTTTTCCTTCCCACAGACTTCCCACTGAGGTGCCTTGATACAGCACTCTGGGAACAGCCTATTTGTTCAGAAATGTCTTTCTGTCACCCTCTTGCTTCGAGGGTGTCAATGATGGCCTTCTGGACAGCAGTCAGGTCGGCAGTCTTACCCATGATTGCGGTTTTGAGTAATGAAACAGGCTGGGAGTTTTTAAAAGCCTCAGGAATCTTTTGCAGGTGTTTAGAGTTAATTAGTTGATTCAGATGATTAGGTTAATAGCTCGTTTAGAGACCCTTTTCATGATATGCTAATTTTTTGAGAGAGGAATTTTGGGTTTTCATGAGCTGTATGCCAAAATCATCAGTATTAAAACAATAAAATACCTGAAATATTTCAGTTGGTGTGCAATGAATCTAAAATATATGAAAGTTTAATTTGTATTATTACATTATGGAAAATAATGAACTTTATCACAATATGCTAATTTTTTTAGAAGGACCTGTACAGTATATACACTCACCTAAAGGATTATTAGGAACACCTGTTTAATTTCTCATTAATGCAATTATCTAATCAACCAATCACATGGCAGTTGCTTCAATGAATTTAGGGGTGTTGTCCTGGTCAAGACAATCTCCTGAACTCTAGCCTGGGTAAACCCAGACAACTTCTGGCAAATTTAGATTTGCTCTGAAAGTTAGTCTGGCAAAGAGCTCATTCAAGCCCATTTCCAATCCGTCGAAATCGCGGCACCAATCAGAAACGTTGGGGCGGGCTTTACACGATGACGACAGCGCTAGGATTTTGAAGCAGATTTTGTAGCCTACATTACAAAGATGGATGCCGCCGTCGAACATCACTCGTTCGAATCAGCTACCGCGTCTGTTTTAAGCGATTTGAACGTTTCCTTTTTGTTAAAAACCGAGCAAAGAACAATTCTCCGCCACTCTGCACACGTCATCTCCTTCATCGCTCTGATTGGGTTTAGGTCTATCCGCGACGTCCGTTGGTGACGCCCCTCTGGAAATGATTTGTCTATGACGCTTTGCCAGACCATAACTCAGTTACAACTGAGAATGGTCTGGTTTTAACCAGGCTACCTGAACTCCAAACTGAATGTCAGAATGGGAAAGAAAGGTGATTTAAGCAATTTTGAGCGTGGCATGGTTGTTGGTGCCAGACGGGCCGGTCTGAGTATTTCACAATCTGCTCAGTTACTGGGATTTTCACGCACAACCATTTCTAGGGTTTACAAAGAATGGTGTGAAAAGGGAAAAACATCCATTATGCGGCAGTCCTGTGGGCGAAAATGCCTTGTTGATGCTAGAGGTCAGAGGAGAATGGGCCGACTGATTCAAGCTGATAGAAGAGCAACTTTGACTGAAATAACCACTCGTTACAACCGAGGTATGCAGAAAAGCATTTGTGAAGCCACAACACGCACAACCTTGAGGCGGATGGGCTACAACAGCAGAAGACCCCACCGGGTACCACTCATCTCCACTACAAATAGGAAAAAGAGGCTACAATTCGCAAGAGCTCACCAAAATTGGACAGTTGAAGACTGGAAAAATGTTGCCTGGTTTGATGAGTCTCGATTTCTGTTGAGAAGAAAATATAAAGCAGCACAACATAATAACAAAAACCACCAAATCAGCATTTTTGAATGATTTCTGGATGATCATTTGACACTGAAGACTGAAGTGATGCTTAAAAATACAGCTTTGAATTACAGGAATAAAATTATATTAAATAGAAAACAATTCTAAAACCAAGGCTTTTAACTGTATTATTGATCAAATAAATACAGCCTTGGTGAGCATACAAGACTTAAAAAAAAAAAATCTTACCAACCCCAAACTTTTGAACAGTAGTGAATGTGAATACAGTAGGCTACAAGCATATATGTCCTCTCATATCCGCTTAATTGTGTTCTGAATCAGATTACCAAAGTATAAAATAAAAAAATAAGTTATTCAAATAAAACCCTAATTTTCTCTGTTTTCTTCAGGAGGAGCCCTTCATAATGGTGGCAGAAAACATTCTAGGTCAGCCCAAAAGATATAAGGGATTTTCCATAGATGTTCTGGACGCCCTGGCCAAAATTCTGGGCTTTAAGTATGAAATGTATCAGGTGGCTGATGGGAAATATGGATCTCCTCAGGCCAACGGGTCTTGGAACGGAATGATTGGAGAGCTAATTGGAAAGGTGGGATTCACATACATAAAGACTGTTCAAGTTATGTATATTCATATATAGTGTTTTTTTTTATTTATTTTTTATGCACAACTGCATATTTATATTAGTCAGTGCTAATAGTTGTGAAGGCATTGCACTTTATTCATATTTACTTTTTTGTAATTGATACAGCCAGATTTATGTTATTGTCATCTCATCTCAGACATATTTAATATACTCTCAATGCATTATTTTTTAGAGGGCAGATGTGGCTATTTCAGCCATCACCATCACTCCGGAACGAGAGAACGTGGTGGACTTCAGTAAACGCTATCTGGATTATTCTGTGGGAATCCTGATGACTAAAACAGAAGAGAGACTCAATATCTTCTCCTTGCTGGCACCGTTTGACCTGGCAGTGTGGGCCTGCATTGCTGCTGCCATTCCTGTGGTGGGTGTCATGGTCTTTCTGCTCCGACGCGTCCAGTCTGTCCGCTCCCAGAATCCTCCTGGGCCCCACCAGCCTGCTTCTGTCACGACGTCCTTCCAAAGTGCCATCTGGATCGTCTACGGAGCCTTTGTACAGCAAGGTGAGCTGGGTCACGTCACATGAACATGAGGGATGAGGTATTGCTGAATAGTCACCTTACCTGGATTTTTCAATCAGTTGCTGACATTCTCGTCTTGACATTCTCGAGCTAGTACAGCAATTTAAAATATTTATTTATAAAAAAAATATCTTTTCTGCAGAATATTCTTCTATGATGTTTAATAATTCTTCAAATGTTTAAGTACAACTTACAGCACCAGAGACAATCCCTAGAGTCACACATTTTGACTGTTTGACAAAATATATTATTCCATAGGAATTCTGCAACTCACTTTTGAAAGCTGTATACGTCTAAAGGTGCCAATTGTGTTTGGTTGAGGTTTCCAAAAATGGCTGCACTTTTCTGTTCCGGATACTCTTGGTATCTTGTCAACACCAGCCTGACTCTAAGTTGTCTCTGCACTTTCAGATGTAGCAACTCAGACCAAGATGCAAGCAATTGACAACAGCTGTTAAATGACATTTACAGTTTTTTTCAACAGCTGTTTTGCTAATTTCTAATTATAATCTCTGGACCCATAATTTGATATTGAAACGCACATGGCGAGTGATTATGAAAATAGGCTTGCATTTGTGTCACCTTCTTAAATAAACATTTACTGCCACTCATGAAGGACAGCCATAAAGTGCGCTACAGCGTTCAAATTGTGTCAGCGCTCTTAGAGGGTCCCCAACTAGAGACCTGCACTCCCAAGGGACTACCACGGGACCCGACGGAACAGAGTGTGGCGCGGGACAAGATTTGATGAGCGATTGCGGGTGTGGTCGGTAAGACTCGTGTGTGCGAGTTGTGGGAGAATGATTAGCGGGACTCCCGTAAAATCGAAATATCTAAAAACAAATAAATTGTTATTTATCTGTTGCACAAAAGCAACAAAAACAGCAACAAGGGAGCGCTCTTGGCACAGTTTGTGCGTTGCCAAATCAATCATGCAGTAGCCTATGCTTGCTTTTCTGTTAAAATGAACAGTGGTTTGTGAATATAGATTATTTAATTACAAATTATTTATCGGAAGCGTTTATGCTGGGATGTGTAGGTTGTGGCTAGGCGACAAATAACTTAAAACTATTTCACTGAAATTTCATGGACATACTGAAAAAAATCTGTTTAGAACTTTCCAAATGAAAGTGATTCAAAGATTTACATTTTATGTCTGGGCATTTAAAGGCACAATCACTTCTTTTTTTGGGAGAGTTTTTTTTCCAGTGTACTCTCAACCCTGTAATGAGCATAGATGCCCACTTAACCCTTGACCTTTCCAATTACAGACTCAGTGGATATCCTTTTAGGCCTAAAAGAACATCTCAGATAATTTGGCTCCGAGACCAAAAAGAAAACTTATAGCCCCTAACGAGCTCCATTGAGCTTGATAGCTCCAGATCTTTTCACTTCCCGTTTAATTCTCACCATCTCTGTGTCAGTGATGACATTTCCAAAGCTGTGTGTGCTGGAGAAGAATATTGTGTTGACATTTCAGCACAGGCTTATAAGGTGTTGAGCTTTTCTGAGAAAACGGGTGATAGGAGAATGAATCTTAATACATGGCTGCAGTGCTGTGTCACTGCCAAAAAAGAGCAGAAAGAAAATAATGGAGGGCTGAAATGAGATAAAATCACAGAGAGGTTCAGTGACATAGACAAGGGGTCAAGGTTTAGCCTGAACCTGTTAGCACCTGCTGTCTTAAAAAGCATGTTTCTCCATTGACTCATTGTATTCTGGCTATTATTTGTGTCTTTTTGCATATCGTTGAAATGGTGAAAACAATTATTCAACCTGTAGAATGTTTTTTTGTCTTGTTTCTTGTGTTTGCAGGTGGTGAATCCCTCATGAGTTCATTGGCTCTCAGGATTGCAATGGGAAGCTGGTGGCTATTCACCCTTATTGTCTGTTCATCTTACACAGCCAACCTGGCAGCCTACCTCACCGTGTCCCGCATGGATAACGCTATTCGGTAAGCTAACTAGTCCAGCTCTGCATCTCAGTGCCAGAACTCCACATATCTGCAGATGCTTGTCCATATGCAGGCTTGATAACTCCCGCTCATCACGCTGTTGACCACATGGTGTGTCATAGAGCTTTATTAGACCTGTCACATCTCTAAACGTAGCTCCCGGTTAGGATATCACGTCACTGGATTGCCTTCATTAGCATCAGATTAAATCAGATCAGACTGCTCATTTTTACTAGTTGACTAGTCATCCAGAAAATGAGTCGATTAGTGTGTCGGTCAGTGTTTACCTTATGCAAATGACTCACAATGCACTGTGCCGTTTCAGCAAAGTTCAACGCTAGGTTGAGTTAAGGGAGAAAATGTCTGCTTGTTGATGTGGGATAGAGAAAATGGTTGTGCGTGTGTATCTTCATTGCAAGGTTCATACAGCTTGTGTTGATGTAAACTGTCCAAAAAAAAAAGCTATGTCCCTTTCACTTATAGTTCTGTCAGCCTTTAGGCGACTTCATTCGTTTCAGGTATTGAAAAAATGGGTGATGGGTGAATGAGTCTTATTACATGGCTGCAGTGCTGAGTCACTGACAAAAAGAAACAGCAAGGAACATAACAGAGGATGAAATGAGATCAAATCACTGTGGGGTTCAGTGATACAGATAAGGGGCCAAGTTTTATCTGGTTGGCATGAGCAATTTAGCCAATGCTGTTCTGAAAATGGTATGTTTCTCCATCCATGGCCATTTAAAGTCACATGATCTGACTTAAAGGCTGGAATAACTACACATACATTTTAAAATCTGAATAGATTTTAAAACACTAGACATCATATACTTGCAGACTTTGTAAATGGTTACAAATACAGAGGTACAACTGGTCATCATACTCTAAACAACTGTGGATTACACACTTCCAGACATTCAAGTTATTCCGAACAAACTAGCTCACACAGAAACATGCACCTCGTTGCTAGGAGATACATGATGAATGAAAACAATATTTGTTCTGAAATCAGCTCAAAATATCAAACATGTTTGATATCCTGTGGACGGAATCATAGTCCGAAGCCCATGATACAATGTGCGAAATCTGTCTACTCAAATCTGCAGACTGGCTCTGACTTTTGGCAACTAGCGTTGAATCGTTCAGACTGTAAAGATTTAGGCAAAAGTTATTTAGTGCATTACAGCTATAATATTTTGGGGGCTGTGATCCATGAAAATTTAGGCTTGTATGTGAAAATGCTCATCTCAGGTGTTTGCAGTGTGGTTTACCTAATACATGCTTTTTGAATACAATTATATTTTATATTTACCTTTGCATAATGACAGTTATGTTGTCATCAACAATTTATTCATTTGAAGGGGAAACGACTAGTTGACACTGATGCAGTTTGGCAGTTGTTGCAAAACAGTGAACCTCTGTTTTTGAGGTGTTGAGAAAGTAGGTCTAAAATTGAAAGAAGTAATACTGTGAGTCTGCTAAATGCATCCTATTTCTTCAAATTAAATCTGAAATCTCAGCATGCTGGCTGTTTCTTAGAGATCACGTTGGCCCTTCACTTCCCAGCAGGGAGCTCACAGTTCCTGACATTCTCCATAAATTCCACGAAAGGTCGCCTCATATTAAAATCCTTTCTTTTATTTTTTCTCTTTCTGTAGATGCCAGAACCTTTTTCTTCTCCTTTCATGTGTTGTGCAGGTTTTGTCAATGCTGGCAACTCTCAATTCAGAGAACTATAATGCACTTGTTGTTATAAACACACAGGTCTTTTTTATTTATTTATACTGTATAGATAAAATAAAATAAATAAATATATACATTCACAGTGTACAACTGTCAGATAGCACAAGCAATGTGTCACAAAAGAGCTGGAGTGATTCCTTTCGTTCCCTCGCTACAGAAGGATAATTGCGTTGTCAGAGCAGAAATAAATGCTCTTTCTGCTTTAAAACCTCCCTCTTCTTTGACTGTGAGAGTTGTCTTATATGAACTGGTAATGCCCTATACCTGATGTGCAAATAGTTTTCTCCTGCCTCTGTAAATGTTATCTGCCTGCTCATTGAATTCAGCCCTCTCAGCCCAGCTGAAAACCCAAGGTGGGAGAAGCTTAATGCATTCTGTCCCTCTGAATTCGGACTTCATACTCCTGGCGGACCTGTTAGTTCAGTGGCAAAATGCCTTAAAACCGTTTGCCCAAAGGTTCTGCTTTGGAGCATTAATGGAGAGTTTGCTGCCGTCACATTTCTCATTCAAGCTCCTGTGAGTGTGTGTGAGGCTCTGGGGGTTTATTCCCTCCGTCTCTCAGTGGCAGCATCCACAGCTGCTATGGTTGTGCTAATCACCTTGTTTGTAACTGTTATTAAAATCAGACAGCCCTGCTGGTGCATGATACGCTATCGTTAGCACGCTGGGAGTCCACTGGGAGTCTTTCATATCTCTCACCAGCCTTAGATGTAAAAATGGGATTCAAGCTTGACAAATGTTGTGTTCGGTCCTGAGGTCCCCAAATGCTTGGCTTCACTCTGTCAGTGGGCTGTGATTGGCTGGTGGAATGGCTGCTGATTGGCCGGTTATGGGACTATTTGAGTCACTTGACTCTGCTGTGTTGAATCTGTTTGCTATAAAACAGATCATTGAATATGCCATTTTGTGTAGAAAATGTAGGTCTACTCTTTTGCAGTTTGTTTGTAAATTGTTTGTAAACTATTTTGTGAGCATTTAGTCACCCATCCAGTTAAATTGGAATTTTTGGGGGCTTCAAAACATAAGCCTGCCTGAGTGGAGTTTAATACAGCTCAATTTTCCCATTCTTTGTTGGATGTAGGGCATCTAGAACATCCTCATACACAACAAAAACAAGATAATGGATCTCATAAAATTATTTTCCCCATTACAGCTAATAATAGCTTTTTAGAGCACCTCTATTGATATGTCCTGCTGAAAGAAACTCAGAGGCATGGAGTTTGTATTTACCTGCTAGGTACCCTTGGAAAATTCATTACATTTTAGGACTGTCAGTCAATTAAACATTTGACATAATTTGCTAATTAATTGATCAAATTTATTATGCAATTAATCATACCAATATCTGCTTAGACAAAATCATTTTTAAAACACTACATGTATTATTTATACATGTGGTTATTTTTAAGATATTTGTTTAATCATTTATTTTATATTACACATATCAATATCAAATAAAAGTTTATTCAATTGATTGAAGATTAAAAATAAGCTATTGATTGAGTCAATGGATTTTTTCCCCCCATTGCATAAACGTGTCAGATGCACATCTCTGGCCATCTTTTTTGGACATCTGGCCATGTTTTTTTCAGCATCTCACACCATGAGCAAATTTTTACAACAGTGTGTCAAGTTAAAAACACACATCTGGAGACCCCTGCATTCATTCTGTTGTTTTCATTTCCACTCTGTCTAGCTGTTTTTGAATGCAAGAACACATCTTGTGTTAACAGCTTATTACTCATTCCTTGCTGAAGGCTCTCACTAAGTGTGGTGTGGTGAAGTGTGTTGTCTATAGTAGCACATGGATCATGGGTCATAATTGCATGCATGGTTTTTACCACATTATTTATTTTTATTTTTTAGAAGTAATTCTTTCAGGTTTCGTTCAGGTCATTTGTTCATTACCTGGACTTTTATACAAGCAGTTTTTTATTTTTAGAACATCCACAAACCATATTAGCACAATGGAGACTGTTACCTCATACTATACATACATGCCATCTCTACTATTTTCACAGTAGGCAGACCATACATTTAATTCTGCTTGAGCAAGAACCAGTGGAAAACAGGAACTTAAACTGAAATAGAAATGGATTACAGAAACTGAGGTAATTGAGTAAACCAGTTACGAAAGTAATGATGGCACCAAGGTGGTTTATTTAAACAACTTTGTTAAATATAGTGATTAATAATGTTGATCAGTCCATGTTTTAGTCAACTTAACCCTATAATGTGAATCAAGAGCAAACAGTATCTCATCTCAGTATAATGATGGTTCATCTGTCCACATGTGGGTCAAATTAGGTCCGAGACCAAACTTGGCTCAATGATACAGACAAAAGGATGGCGTGACACAAGCACATTGTTTTTAAATAAAAATAAAATAAAAAAAATCTAGAAATTAAAAACATTTTCTAAAGACTTGGTGTACAATTCTGTTAAAAGTTTGAGGTTAGTACGATTTTTAAAATGTTTTTAAAGAAGTCTCTTCTGCTCACCAAGACTGCATTTATTTGATACAAAACAGTAATATTGTGAAATATTGATATCTATATTTCAATACAATATATTTGAATAAAATAGAAATCATCTGTAACATTATAAATGTCTTTACTGTCACTTTTGATCAGTTTAATGTGTCCTTGCTGAGTATTCATTTCTTTCAAAAACAATATGAAAATTAAATGGGAAAAAATAACTGCTTTGTCACAGCTTTCCCAAATAAATTTCAATTTCAGAACTGCTATATTTTCCATTTCAAAAGCTGCTCAGCTGGGTTTGGGAGTATATATGACTATATCATAAATAACGAGATGACTCAATGCGTAACATTTCCACAGTTGTTGTTTTTTCTCCCCTCCAGATGTGGCAGTACCACTATAATTAAACTGATTAATTGTTCTGATTTATCTTCTCAAGATTAACAATTCGACTCATTGAATCTGCAAGAAAATTGTATGAGTCCTCAGTCCTGTTAAATAGGCTTGTCAAGGGTGATGGAAGATGCTTATCTCAACATGAAATCGCTTCCCACTAAAACCAGAAGGAGAAGCAACACAGTGTCATTACGCAAGAGGGAAGAGCAGCCGGCTGCCCTAAAAACATCACACATGGACTGCATGACATCGGAAGTTGCAGATGGAAGGCAGCAGCTGTGAACTGCAAACTCATTTAGAACTGTATTTTGTCATTGGGGTATTCTTTTCCTCCAAATAATTCAAATAATTAATGAATACATCATGTTTATGCATTCATTCATTACGTGTGACAGTTTAAGTGTTGTGGCTTGTCTGCTTTTACATTAGGGATTGATTGTTGGATGAGCTATTTCATTGTTGTAATCTGGAGTAAAGAGTATTGTTGCAGATGTAAACCAGCCAAAGATCTCCATGCTGTAGATTGGTACATAGAGGGCCAGTTCAAGCGGTAATGGTAGTGTTAGATAAGGGTCTTTCATTAACCCCCATATTACCCAATTGAAATGCAACGTGTCAGTAGCTCGACCTCACACCTCTGTGATTCATGAGCGCATTTGAGAGAAATTGTATCATAGGTGAAGGACATGTCACCCGGGTTATAATCCACTTAATTTAATGTTTTTGGAGGGGTTTTCAGAGAATTTTAGCATATTTTGAATGTAGTCAGTAGACACACCTCAGATATATTCTAAAACTTCCTTAAAGCTGCAGTCCGTAGCTTTTTGGGGGTTAAAAATTATCCCAACTACATATTTGATAAAATACATAAGCAGCCAGTGTTCAAAACTCTCTGCTTGGCTTAGCTCGATTCAAAACAGTAAGCTTGTAATAATGTGTTTAATTCCAGTGGTACTGGTGGATTTCCGCGGGAGATTCGAGCATGTCTTTGCGTCATTACGTCACATCTGTACACATAAAGAAGGAGTCCCGGCTAGTATAAGCTATATTGCGTGTGAGGATGTTGGAGGTGGAGATTTATAGCCTTTTCTCGCAGCACTTGATATAATTAAACTTATCAATTTGATGGCGGATCCAGAAAGTTTAAACGACGATCACCAGTGACAACAGATTCACCCGCTGTAAAATGCTAAAGACTTCGTTCGGACTTCGGAGTGGCTACAGAAAAAAAGAGACTGCAACCGGACCATGCGAAAACAAGGATACATATCGGAAGGACATTACATGTAGTCACGCAATGCTGACGTTGTTAACATTAACAATTTGAGAACAAAGTATAATTTGCACGGTTTTGCGTGATATGATAACTTATAAACGATTGTTAGATTTACTGCAATATCAGAACCAGAACAAAAGTGGGTGTTTCTTACTAGTTCAGATGACATTTTCCGGTGAAGTTATTATGTTGGTCATACTTCCAAAAAGAATAATCTGTGATTCTGAATGCCAGTATCCACACTGGCGCGGTGACTGACAGCTGCACACTCTCCTCAAACATTGTGTTCATCCGCGCTGTGCCGTGTCGAGGGTGTCGAAGTACAACTCACGTAAAATTGATAATTCTGCGAATAACTGCAATTGCAGATTTCGAACAGAGATGGCGACAAAGAGGAAAAACTGCAGACTGCAGCTTTAAACTAGACAATGATACAATCAAAAAATCATTTTGGAATAAACTGCCTCTGTTGCAGCTAATAGTAGGACTTTTCATTTTACTATTCCATTCCATTAATTGTGATTTATTTCATATCATTTCATTTAGTTTCTAAACTAGTATGAGGTATGTTTGGAAATGTTTAAAACTTTACGCTCATGCCAATAAAGCTTTGCTTTAATTCTTAGACAGCAAGAAAGTATAAAGTGAAATAAAATAATCTTTGTGTGTTCAATATTACTTCCATGTTATTCAGTTGACTGCAAAGCACCATATGATATGCTCAAATGTTTGGTTCCAACGAGAGTGTGATTTTAATTGTTTGATGCTCCTTTCACACTGTTTAGGCAGGTTGTGAAATGTACCATTAACAGCTTTTTATGTTGTTGTTTGAGGCATATTATAGACCTCTAGATTGTTTAAACACTAAAATCATCCGGCACCTGTGAACACAGTGGCAATTTATCTTGCACATTCTGAACATCAGGCGTCAATAATTCAAGACATACAGCATATTAATTAAATATTGTAAATATTTAAATTTGTATCCTTATAAAATTGTATTCTTCTACATTTTGTTATTATATCTGGTTTTGTTTTATTTTTAATTTAATATAATGCATTTTGAGGAATATGTGCTTGGTATATATTTTCTTAATTTTCTTCTCAATTCAGAACATTTCAAGACCTTTCCAAGCAGACAGAACTGAGCTACGGAACGGTGAGAGAGTCTGCTGTGTTCGAGTATTTCAGGGTGAAGGGCACGAACCCCCTGGAGCAAGACAGCACTTTCTCCGAGCTGTGGAGAACTATCAATAAAAATCAGGGACAGGACAACTCTGTGATCTCTCCTGCTGAAGGCATCCGCAAGGTATCAGACACACACAGTCATGTTACTTACAGATGATGTAAAGATTCCACATATGTTGCCTAATCCAACATTATGATGCCAACAACCCCTAAATATCAAGGCATCTATGTATTTTCATTTGTACAGACCCAATAGAAAGACATTTATAATGTTGCAAAAGATTTGTATTTCAAATAATTTATGTTCTTTTGAACTTTATGTTTGTAAAAAATATGTATCACAGTTTCCACAAAAATATTAAGCAGCACATATGTTTTCAATAAATGTTTTCATTGATAAAAGGAAGAAATGTTTCTCGAGCTCCAGATCAGCATATTAGAATGATTTCTGGAGGATCATGTGACTCTGAAGACTGGAGTAATGATGCTGAAAAGGAGTAAACTACATTTTAATATTCAAATAGAAAGCAGTTCTAATAATATTTCACAATATAACTGTGTTCACTTTATCTTTGATCAAATAAACCAGCCTTGGCAAACATGAGAGACTTCTTTCAAAAACATTTAGAAAATCTTGCTGACTGATATTATAAAGATAACTGTTGCTTTCAAAGACATAAAATAAAACAAATACATTTACATGCAAATTTGGTTTTCTTACTGTCAGAAAAATAGGTCTGCCATACTTAACAGTAGATTTAATAATTTTAGAAATGTGAGAAAACCAATCATTGGATTAATCAGTTCAACTAACCAGGTAAAAATTGCATGTCTGCATATATGTTCAGTTATTGTATATAGCATTAAACAGGACCTGAAACAGAGGATAAGAGAAGCTATTATTAAAGCTGCAGTCCGTAGCTTTTTTGGGTTCAAAATTATCCAAAATAATTTGTTGAGCAAATACATAAGCAGCCAGTGTTCAAAACTCTCTGCTTGCCTTAACTCGATTCAAAACGGTAAGCTTGTAATAATGTGTTTAATTCCAGTGGTACTGGTGGATTTCCACGGGAGATTCGAGGATGTCTTTGCGTCATTACGTCACATCTGTACACATAAAGAAGGAGTCTCGGCTAGTATAAGCTATATTGCGTGAGGATGTTGGAGGTGGAGATTTATAGCCTTTTCTCACAGCACATGATATAATTAAACTTATCAATTTGATGGCGGATCCAGAAAGGTTCAAAAGACAATCACCAGTGACAACAGATTCACCCGCTGTAAAATGCAAAAGACTTCGTTCGGACTTCGGAGTGGCTACAGAAAAAAAGAGACTGCAACCGGACCCATGCGAAAACAAGGATAGATATCGGAAGGACATTACATGTAGTCTCGCAATGCTGACGTTGAACATTAACAATTTGAGAACAAAGTATAATTTGCACGGTTTTACATGATATGATAAGCGATTGTTAGATTTCCCCTTAGTTGGTCAGAACCCGAACAAAAGTGGATGTTTCTTACTTGTTCAGATGACATTTTCCGGTGAAAATTATTATGTTGGTCATACTTCCAAAAAGAATAATCTGTGATTCTGAATGCCAGTATCCACACCAGCGTGGCGACTGACAGCTGCACACTCTCCTCAAACATTGTGTTAATCCGCGCTGTGCCGTGTCGAGGCACAACTCACGTAAAGTTGATAATTCCGTGAATAACTGCAATTGCAGATTTCGAACAGAGATGGTGACAAAGAGGAAAAACTGCGGACTGCAGGTTTAAACTGGAACAGCTCAATCCTTTCAAATCAGCCCCAGCCCTGTTTGACAGAGTGGAGAGCTGTCCGTGGTGCTGAATTTAGCTGTGTAGTGATTGGTAAGAGCTGTCTGTGGTGCTGAAGTTTTGTGCTGGCACAAGCTTTTCTGTGCACTACCATGTGCCTGATGCTGGCTGGTTATCGGTGGCTCTTTGTAATCCAAAGCATGTATCACAGAGCACAGAAAGAGCAATCAGTAAAATGCAGTCTGTTTAGGTTCGTAACAGGATGATTCTGGCATCTCGCATACAAGTCTGACAGAAAACATGAGGAAACAGCTTTAGACTATCAAGATAAATATTCATGGCTCAGATAATGTAATATCCCTCCATATTGTGTGAGCCATAAAAATTACAATTCAAATGCTGCTGAATCCATTCATGTATTTATGCTTGTTTGGTAAAACTTTCAAAGTCACTTTGTATTTAAACTGTGGCTGATGCCATGAGAATCTTTAAGAAACTTGATATCCACTTCAAACTCTTTGATAAAACTTTGATAAAAATCGCAGCTATTAAATTTCACAGCTCGTCTTATTGTTACAGATATCACATATCCACTGGCATGCTTTTTACAGGAGACATAGCCAAAACCATGAATCTTTTTTCATAACTGGCTATTAAGCTAACAATTCAGCAGGCTCAGAACTAATTTATTAAGCAGAATAATGAAAAGCGATAAGACACAGAGAAATAGTATGTCTGCAACCCAGCACTTTGGATGGTGCTGAATAATACTATGTCAGGCCATCCATGCTGAAGTGATTAACTTCCAGTAATTGCCCAAAAGATTCACATATACAGTACAAGTGTTTAGTCCCTGTGGACTAAAAAATAAATTCTTTCACCTTCACTAGTTTAATGTGTTTGTTAAAAATGTCCAGGAGTACATACACATGCATCACATACGAATTATTCCATATATACTGTATATATATATTTTTTTCCCCTAAGAAATCATGATCATTTTATGTGGCGAAAATGAGGCCACAACCAAGGGACTTTTTCATTAGTAATAATTTAAAAAAAAATAGTATGTCATCTTTAAAGCAAGATGGATTCTGATTGGCTGTCAATATTTTTATCATGCATCAGCTGGTAAAAAAAAAAAATGTTTCGAAACAATATTTTTTTCCCTAGCCTTTATCGTTTTCATTAACATCCTTGGTGTGAACAGGCTTTTAGTTCAGTTCTACTTTATTTATCCTTAGAAAGGAAATTTAGTGTGCAGCAGGATCTAAAAAACAAACACAGAATAAAAGCACCACCAGATGCCAGCAGCATAATACACACAACACAAAACACACACCAACACATCAGTCAATGGAGACACTCCTTCCTCGAACCAATGACAAAAAAGCAATGCAATACACAGATCAGTATATCATAATGAATAATGACATAAATAAATAAATAAAAATCATAAGATATCACCTAAGTGAGTTCAGGTTCCTGATAGCCACAGGAATAAAGGAATCCCTGGCACGCCTGGTTCGTAACATGGGTAGCCTAAAACGGCGACCTGAGGGGAGCAAATTAAACTCCCCATAAAGTGGGTGATCAAAGCAATTTAAAATTTGGTTAGCCTTACCACGAACCCGATTTTATTCAGTAAGGATTCATTAAATTGATTAAAAGTGACAGTAAAGACATTTAACGTTACAAAAGATTTCTGTTTTACATGAATGCTGTTCTTTTCTCTTTTTTTACTTTTTATTCATCAGAACCCTGGGAAAAATGTGTCATGGTTTGTATCATGGTGGGGGTGTGGGAGTGGTGTTGGAGTTCAAAGAGAGTTTTAATGTGACCATATAATAAATGTACCCATAGGATCTCATATAAACCCGATAAACAACTGGTTTAGTTATTCCTACTGCATGTCTGTGTCCCTTCATCCTGTCTTTTAGAAGTTATTGTCTTTGTTTAACTGATGCACATTCTCCAAACCGGAAACTTGTATACGTTTGATTTGTTTTTTAATCAATGCTTTAATAGGTTGAGAGTATGAAAATCCGACTAATAGATGTACACTTGAAAGCCAAACAGTAAATATCATTTCAGCCAGTGACAGGTATTTGTAGTACTTTACAAAGGTATAGGGAAAATTTCATATTTATTTGGAAGAGCCAGGGGACGATAGCTTCTTTGTCATTTCTTCTTTGACATCCATTTTTTTCTGTGTACTTGTCATAACTGTGTGGCTTCGCCTGAGTTTAAAAGAGACAGAAAGGAAAGCGGACGCTTGTGCTGCTTTATTTAGTGTGGTGGGGGAAAGCCATTTTCCCGAGAGAGAGAGAGAGAAGAGAGAGAGAGAGAGAGAGATAATCTCTTGAAAAAGAAAGCGGGGGTGGCTAGTTTCCAGAGAAGAAACAAGTTCAAAGCCATCTCATGACTTTCAGTGAAAAATAAACATCTTTCATTTTGAATGATGTCTGTGACCTGTCTGACAAGAACTGAGCGACTAAAAGAAGAAGCTCTCCATCTCAGGAAAACCTTAGGCTGTGTTTACGTTACTATTATCAAAACCACAAATATTTATGCCATGATGTTCTGCCATAAATGGGCAAATGAAACACTGTACCATGCATGTGTTTGGTTTCTCAGGTGAAGCGGGATCCATACGCCTTCCTGTGGGACTTGGCAGTGTTAGAGTATGCAGCTCTGACAGATGACGATTGTACGCTGGTGGTCACAGGAAACAGCATGAGCAGCAAAGGATATGGCCTGGCTCTGCAGCACGGCAGCCCCTACAGAGATCTCTTCTCGCAGAAGTGAGCACTTCCTTTCAGTGTATATGTGCAATATGATCACAAAGAACGATACAAGTCGTTAAACTAGCTGAAGGATAGACACCATCGTTTCAATCATTTCAAGTCAATATCAAGCTCCAAAGCTTCGCAAACATCACAGTGCCTGACTGTGATGGATTGTTTACCCTTTTCTTTCATCATCTGTCCTTTCTCTCATTTACATTACATTTATTTCCTTGGCAGACGCAGTCTTGCCGGAGAACCCATGAATCGTGTTGATTCACCAGTTACTGCTCTTTGTTACATTTATCTTCATTCCCACCCATCCTTTCTTCTCTCCACTGGCTCTAAAGCACCTCACCCTGCAGCCCTTCATTTGTTTGACTATCATTTGCATTCATATTTTCAGCTCGTACCGACGCTCTGCTCACATACTAATTAGCTTTAGGGGGGTAAGCTCGCCGGCAATTAATAATGCACATATCAGGAACATCAAGGCCTTGAAATGCATTTTCATGAAGGATCATCTACAATCACCTGCCGGTCTGTTATGGGGAATTAGAATCAAGCACATTTTAAATTAATACCCAGGATGATTGCAGTTGAACAGACTTCATTTTTCAACCTTTGACATTTTCTTTTCTATCAATAGTTATTGACCTTTTGCTCTGGATTCTTTACAAATACATTCTCTTTCTGAACGTCTGCTGCATTTAAATGAAAAACCTTAGAAGAAAACTTCTCAATGAATAAAGATAAAGCTAATTTATAAGACTGTAATAGAAGACCAAATGTTCATTGCCACTGCTGAAGTAATTTTTTTCAGTGTTTTGTTAACACTATCTGACCTTGTATCTCTGCCTTTTATTTGAAGAGACAATCGGAAACCAGAAGTACTATGTGTCCATCAATTGTTCCAAGTTGTCATTTTTCTTGACCACTGAATGCAATATCTGACTCATTATCCCCTTTCAGTCATATGTATATTTTTCAGAGCTTCATTTTCTTTGTCCTCTTGCTAATAAAGTGTTCAGCAAAGCAATATATAAGGCAAAATGAAAGCAATTACAGATTCATGCCACGATTCTCATAACAAGATACTTTCCTTTTCTCTTCAGGATCCTTGACCTGCAGGAGAAAGGAGACCTTGACATTCTAAAGCAGAAGTGGTGGCCTCGGAAAGGTCGCTGCGACCTGGACAAGCACGTGGAGCCTCAGCCGGAGGGCCGTGCCCTGAGACTGCACAGCTTCGCTGGGGTCTTCTGCATCCTAGCAGCGGGGCTGCTGCTGGCCTGCCTGGTGGCCGCTCTAGAGTCTTGGTGGAACGGGCCACGCTGCCAACGGGCACAGCCCAAAGAGGTGACCCCACAGGCGGCCAAACTACGGCCAACCCCTGCCCACCGCGCCCAGGACTGTACAGCCACTGCCACACTCTACTTTATGGATCCAGACGCCACTGATGCAAGCCCTGATTTAGTCGAGCTCCAGTACACCCAGCTATAGGTGTGACCATCAAGAACTTACTGCCTCCCATTTGCTGAAGTGTTGCCAAAGAGAAGGCAAGAGGGAAGGGTGAAGGGGGAGGGAGTCACTCAAAAAAGCACAAAACACCTAGAAAAAAAAAACAGATTAAATAATTGATTATTTATAGGGATAGTTCACCCAAATATGAAAACTCACCCTAATGTCATTCCAAACCCGTATGAATTACTTTCTTTCATGGAACACAAAAGATACTGTGGAGAATTTTTAAAGTCTAAACATTTATTTTTAACTCTTTCTCCGCCAGCGTGTTTTTAAAAATTTGCTAGCCACCAACTTGCCGTTTTTGATCATTTTCACAAAACTTGCATGGCCCCCAGAATATTTTGTTGTATGAATATCTAAACATGCAATATAACAAAAGAAAAAACAGACCCTCTTCTTTTAAACAAAAAAAATCATGATTCAAAATTCAACACTTGGGAATGTGGGCAAGTTTCATAAAAAAGCAACATTTTGAGAAAAAAGCTGAGAAAATCATGTTTTTGTCTAAGCCTGGATCAGATTCAGAACGATGATTAAAACATAGATGGTGTAGATTGAATCCATCAACACCTTCACAATAAAGCTTCACAGTCCTATACAACTTCCTGGGTCAACATTTCATTCTTTAACATTAGGCAGTTTTGATTTAAATGCTGTTTAATGTTGATGATCGCGTTATTTTACATATGCATATGATAACATGAGATCACTTGTTTCGATCACTTGATCACTTGAAGACCCCCCCTCCCTTTCCATTTTACATATTTTATTGGACTGCCCCTCTTTTAATGCAAGTAGACAACATTTTTATGCTGTAAGTTCCCTTAAAGGGATACTCCACCGGTTTTTCATATTAAACTGTTATTCCCTTAACTAAGACGAGTTGATACATACCTCTCTCGTCTCAGTGCGTGCACTAAATCGCTCTGTCTTGCGGTGAAACTTTGATAGCACTTAGCTTAGCCCAGTTCATTCATTAGGATCCAAGCAGAGAAGCGACCAAACACCTCCACGTTTTCCCTATTTAAATACAGTTACACTAGTAGTGTAACTCGACCAAGAATGGTGACACAAAATAAAACGTTGTGCTTTTCTAAGCGTGTAAAGTGGATAACTATAATGTATGGCGGAATACCAAAGCAAGTGCTTGGGAGCACTTCGACTCGGCGCAGTAATATCATCACTCTGGAGAGGGAGAGGGGGAGAGGATTTTTCACGAGTGATGATATTACTGCGCCGAGTCGAAGTGCTCCCAAGCACTTGCTACAGTTTATTTTGTGTCACCATTCTTGGTCGAGTTACACTACTCGTGTAACTGTATTTAAATAGGGAAAACGTGGAGGTGTTTGGTCGCTTCTCTGCTTGGATCCTAATGAATGAACTGGGCTAAGCTAAGTGCTAACAAAGTTTCACCGCAAGACAGAGCGATTTAGTGCACGCACTGAGACGAGAGAGGTATGTATCAACTCGTCTTAGTTAAGGGAATAACATAGTTTAATATGAAAAAAACGGTGGAGTATCCCTTTAAGGAGTTAGTAAGATTTTACCAGGAAAGGTTTTAGATTTTTTTATCTTATGTAACTGTAAAACATCCAATATAATCTTAACTGCTGTACTTTTCTTTTTGTTTGGTTTTCATTTTTTTGCCATGAAGATAGCCTCAGGTGTTGACAGGGCATTAGAAAATCTATACTACGACAACTACAATCTCAAAAGGCAGTTGTCTCTATTGTAAACGTCAACGGGACTCAAAACTTTCAACCTTCATAAACTACATTAAAATAGCGTGAAATTAATCCATATGATTCAACCACAAATATCATGCTGTTTTGGTCACAAGATGTACAAAAATAATAATAAATAATAATAATTTCACGCTACTTGTCCATGGCCATTTTGTAGCTTTAAATGTTGGGTTCCCGGTGACTTTTTAATGGATTAAACTGCTAAAACATCCTTCAAAATATTTTCTTTTGTGTTCCACACAAATCATACGAGCTTGGAACCACAGAAAATGATCAGAGAATTTTCTTTTTTGGGATGTACTGTCCCTTTAAGTGTATATGATAGCTTTTGTATTCAAATCCATTAGCTCTTTGTTATGGGCAACTACTTATTTAGTTCTATTATTTAAAATTATGTTTCCAAGTAACTTTCTGCATACAAACATCCCCAATTTGCGAGATCAGTCAATTCTATGTCTTCTGCTGCTTCAGCTAGGTTGTTAGGCAAAGGTTGTACCTGGATCCCTAAACTAAAGTGTGTGCAATGAGAAAGCCAGTGACTGATTGACTTTTGTTCAAGTGTTCTGCAGTTACTCTTCTGTCCTTGTCTCCTCTCCTTCTCTCCTTTCCCTTTGGTGATATCTTGAGTTGAGGCAAGCACGTTGGCGAGAGCAACAGCTCATAAACCACATATGTTGGTTATCAATAACATAATATAACATTTTGCAGACATTGTTGAATAATAGCGATCAGACTTCAGTATTATGACTACCATTTGTCAACTGCTTGAAATTTGACTGGATTTGAATTAGTACCACATAAAGAGATAAGAACGTTTACTGGCTTTCAGACTATATTGCTTTCACCGACTTCTTGTTCTCGCTTTAAGGTGTTCAGTCTGCCATATGCCTGTACAATTTGAGTGTTTCTTTTATGTATGGTTTTGTTTTTAGTTTACGATATACACTGTACGAAGGGAGTGATTGGAGCTCTGGCAAGCAATAAGAACCACACAATAACCAACTTTACACATTTTACGTTTTATATCCCCCTTCTGTGTCTTCTTATTGCAATTATATGCCAATGTCCAGGTAGTCACAGGTTCTCTATGGTCTCATACAGGACACTAAGGGCTGCACTCTGGAGATGGCATCTGGCTCATTGGCATATAATGAAATTGCAACTGCTGCAGGATGCGCACGGGACGTTTGGCCAGAGAGAGAAAGAGACTGGGAAGACACGCAGGCTTTTTACACAGGTCAGCCGAGACCTGAGCAGGGATACCTGTCAGTGGGGTGAACAGGGCTTGAGAATATGAAGTCATTTAGAGGAAGGACATGCGTTCTCCTGGAGCGGGTTAGGACTCTAGATAAATCAGATTACATATGTGGATGTGGGTGGTGAGGTAATTATGACTCACTCATGCATAGAGAACTAACTGATGACAGACACCCAGGCAGAGTCAGAGAGATTAATTCATCCATATTGGGTGGATTAATAAGTACTTTCTGTTTAGAGACTGATTATTTTATTCATGGAATCTCTTTGCCAAAGCAGCACTAACAGGAATCCCACTGTGTGCGCCTCTCCATTTCGCTCGGCATTCTCATCATCTGTTTGTCATCCATCAGATCACCCATTCACTCGCCACACCGATGTCCCAAAACATTGCAATCTGGAATCCAAAAAGAGATTGGCCTCCAGTTGTGTTGTTTGTCACAGCTGTAAGTGCCCCAAATTGGGCGTATTTTAATGGCAAATTAATGCATTTTTAATTAGTGGCACATTCAGACTTTCTAGTACAGCTTCATGAGCTCTACAGTAATTATCTCTTCATTGATCTTATGACTCAGAAACATAGTCTCATAATGTGACACCTCTAATTACCCATAAATGGTACAAAACTGTAGACTATACAGCTGATCCGCTGGCATCGACCCCGTAGACCTCTGCGATTGAGTTAAAGAGCTGATTCGCCCAAAAGTGAAAATTCGATTACTCTGTCATGTCGTTCTAAACCAGTATGAATTTCTTTCTTAGAAACACAAAAGAAGACATTTTATAACCTGCTTTTGTCCATATAATAAAAAGTCAATGATGAACTTCTTTTGTGTTCCAAAGATGGAGGAAAGTGATACAGGAATGACAAGAGGGTGAGTGAATGATGACAATTTTCATTTTGGAGTGAACAATCCCATTGAAATGGACAGGATGCATTACTGAGCTGACTTGTACTAAACAGAGAAGAAGAACAGTGATTAACAGAGTAGTCCTGGATGTAACGGTTATCAGCGTTTACTGAAAGCTTCATAGTATCGAGTCCACCCTCCTCACTCTCCTACGGAGGATAAATGGTAGGAGAATTAAATGACTATCAGAACTGTGTGGAAAAAATGTAAGCAGTTAGCAGCCTGTTAATGTTGGCTTGATTCTTTCATTAAGTGGCACGCCACGGCATCACTGGCGCATGACCGAAGCTATTTCACGGCGGTGCGTATCAAAGAATGAAGAAATACCTTTTTCATGGCTCCTCCGAAATAAGCCCAAAACATTGAAGCGCCGGGGCTTGTGTTTGCAATTCAATTTATGGCCCATGTTTCCCAGCACACACTCTCATTTGCATCATTGATTTTTTTTTCTTCATTCCGTAACTTTTCAGATATGAAGCTGTTTTAGCATTCAGACCTTTTGCTTGCTGGAGCGGGTGGGAGATGAGATGGATTTGATTTTATTTTTATGAGATTATTCCGTGCTGTCAGTAGTACGTTGTGTAATTGGTATCATTAATCAGAGCTGATGTGATTGTTGGAGCCCTTGGAAAACACCTTCTGCTATTTTCTGAAAGATTGCATGCACTTCCATGTTCCTTTCATTCACATCTGTTTTTGCTTCAGTGTCCGTCCAATTTTTGCTTGTCATTTCTCATTTTCTTTCCGCCTTCCACCCCACAAATCAATTCCCACCTTTTCATCTTTCCTTCACCTTAGACTCTGTCTCAGTCGGCCTGTTTCTTTGTCATTCCCAGGACAAAGAGATGGATCTGGAGCAGGTTCACCAGCGTTTGAGTGGGCTGATGGAGGACGATCTGGTGCACAAGCAGCTGCCAGGTCAGTCTCTGGAGATCTCTGCCCTGGACATGGGCAGCATGCGTCCACAGCAGAGCTCCCAGGAAGCCATGAGAGATTTCCCCCGTGGGGGCCTGTCCGTGACTTCGTTCCTCCAAGAGGGTCCTGGGGTCGGCCGCGTGCCCGGACGGAGCCTCCCCCTCCCTCTCAGCAGTTCCACTCTGCCGCCCTCCATGCGCTGCAAACACCGGGCGCCCAACGGAGGCCTTTTCCGCCAGAGCCCCGTAAAGACACCTATGCCCATCTCTTACCAGGCAGTGCCCGGGGGACCCATCCCAGAAGCCATTGATCCAAGCCATGGGACCTCTATTTGAACCAACCTGTCAGAGCGTTCTAAAGACTGCCAACCAGCCAATCACAAAAACTGAGTTTGAACCAGGTCTGGTTGCATTTATATAATTACATACATACATACAGATATGGAGATCTCTTTTTTTCAGTACAGATACTTATGACTGTGAGACGCTGAATTTCCTTGCCTGTACATATTTGTATATAATGAGAGACAGCAGTGAAGTCAAAGTGTATTTTGAATATTCATGATTTTTTTGAAGTTGAGTTTAAAAGACGTAATTACATAACATACAGACTGTTTGAATGGCTTTGTAAATTTTGTTCTAAAATAAAATTGAGAATTCCTTGTGGATGTTTTCTAAGTGCCATGTTTAAAGTTTTTTTTTTTAATTTAAAGTAGAAAAGATGGGGAGAAAACAAAAACAGTCTGTAAATATTTTGATCGTGTAAGTTTTTGTTTAATATAAAGGAAGCTTTAAAGAGAAACGAATCAGTGAAACTGCAGGTTTGTGAAGGCATCGTCCGCGTGACGTTAGATCCCAGGGAACAAAGTTTTTGTAGAATCTCTTCATACTCTTAGAGTATGTATAGAGACTGAAGCTGTCTTAGCCTTTGACAGCCATGTGTACAAAACCATCTGTAGACTCCAGTGTACAAGACGCTCACCTTTATAACAGATACGTTCTAAAAGGGAGACATATGTACATTGTATGTACCTGAAATTCTACATACTCATTTGTAATGGCTACATTCAAGTCTTTTAAAAGTGTACTCTAAATACACAGTTGATATTGATATGTTAATTTTTCTCTCTCAGTTATGTTGCTTCTCTTTAGTAGAACATTTTAAGAATATACAAATCTTTCTTTATTCTGTTCCTGAAACCAGTATGGTAATAATCTTAACATGTTGAAGGAAAATCACAGTGGTGTTCTGAGATTCTTTAGGTTAAAAATAAATATCCACTTTTGGTATGAGTATCGCTTAAAATTGAATAAGGTTCAGTTCAACTAACATTTAAATACAGAGTTCTGGCATGAAACTCTAGATGGTGCAGGCTAATAGGTCCTTTTACTCACCTGTTCATAATCATAGACATAATAAATACATAGACGCCCTATTGGCCGCTTTGGAACGTTGCTGCGATACGTCAACGCGTCCGCCATTTTGCTGAGGGCAAGACTGCACTGTAATCAAATGCAAGTAAACGGTGAGCTGCGTTTTTTCTCCATAAAAACAAAACAAAAAATACATTTATCAACCGATTTCAGCGGTTTGTACGTGGTGTACAAAACAGCCCAGTCTCATCCCAAGACGTCATATGACTGACGCTTTTGACCATACGTCAACATACGACGTTTTAGGGTACCCTTTAGCGTCAGTTAGATGACGCTATCTAATCCTAACCCTACCCCAGACCTAAACCTACCCGCGTCATCTAACTGACGCTAAAGGTAAAGCGTCAGTTAGATGACGCCCTAGGATCGTCATCTAACTGACGTTAAAGGGTACCCTAAAACGTCGGATGTTGACGTATGGTCAAACGCGTCAGTCATATGACTTCTTGGGATGAGACTGTGTTATACAAAAAGTTCCATCTCTAGTTTTTTAAATTCTCGATAGTTAGACTTGTAAAATATATTTTTTAATAACGAATTGTCAAAGCTCAGGCTTGTCATGTATCTGGCTTTTTATTCTTGGATAAGAATTGTGAAGACCCCAATGCTGAGATATAATTTATTTTCACATTAAATTAAATAAAGTTTTCTTATTGTGGGGAAAGCATTTTCTGTGATTGACCCGATTTGAGCAATAACAAAGATAACTGATGGATCCTTTATGGTATACATATGATATGGTGCAACAACAGTGCAATGCAAATAGTAAATATAAGATAAAGTGAGAAGTAATAGTAAATAGTTTAGTCAATAAAAAAAATAAAAAAAGTATACAGCAAATTAAATAGTAATGAATAGTACAATTATATAATATCATAAGTACATACAGTGAAGAGAATGTATATATATAAAATAATTTATTTATTTTAAAATATTCCTACATAGGCTATATAAAATAAAATGTCACTGCCCTGTCTCTTTTTGTGAGACCAAAGATCGGCCGTTAGATATACACAAGACGAATTATATCTCATGTTTAACCACTAGACTAGAGACATCAGAGCCAGCAGCAAACGTCAGAAGCACTAGCCGAGGTAAGGCTGTTCCTGAGCGCCCGGTGAAAGCCTGGATCTCACAACTCCGAAAACGTCAGATCAAATTTTAAAATAGGCGCTATCTTTATAAATAAACCACAGATTTGAGCTTTAAACAACTATATGAAAACTGCATTTCGTGACACAATAACAGTCGTATTTTTTAAATTTTGCGGCCTTTCTCCTTTGAACGTTACTATAACTAATTATATCATGACCAAATACAACCAGAAACAAATGTTCAGCCTTGCTTGTGAAAGATAATTCCTCGAGACCAGTTTTCAGTTGTGTGGCGATTTGTACAGCCCCAAGCAGCACATGAAACAGGCATTTTTCTCAATTCTCGTTATGAGAAGTATGGGAAAGTTGCCCTCCACAATATGGCGGCGCCGTTGACGTACGCTCCAGCGGCCAAAAGGGCGTCTATGTATTTTTGTCTATGTTCATAATCACATCATTATCTATAGGGCGCAGCTGATTGGTTCCTGCCGTATCAGTAGCCAATGAGCTCGCTGCTCAACCTTCAAATACTTGGGTAGCATTTGGCTTAAGCCTAGTTTACACTATATGATTTTAAGCCCGATTTGCAAATCGTTGAGCTCGCCGACAGGTCAGGGTGTTATCGCGTGCAAATCGCGGGGGATTAGCGGGCGATGAACGCTCGCCAATCTGTTATATGAAAGAGCCAACAAGGCATCAAAGACGCTCACAGGCGCCTTGCAGACGCGTCGCCGAGCCCAGAAAAAATATCTAGCATGCTAGATATCCAGAGCTGTCGCACGACTCAACCTCACGTGATGTCATGAGCTACAGCCAATCAGAGCAAGGCTGTCACAATAACCACGGGGATCAGAATACAAATCAACAGACTTTAGCTGTGTCCCAATGTGAAGGCTGCGTCCTCCGAAAGCCGCATTTGAAGGCCGATTGCGTCACAGCGGCGCAACGAAGGCTGTCCCAATTCAAAGGCTGCATCTTCGAAGGACGCATTTGAAGGCCGATTGCGTCACCGCGGCACGATGAAGGCTGTCCCAATTCAATTCCGCATCCTTCAAAGGCCGTATTCGAAGGCCGGTTGCGTCATCGCGGCGCGACGAAGGCTACCCTGATTCAAAAGCGACGCCAAATGCACCCTTCGTTTCCCCGTGAAAGGAAGGATACATAAATGGACACTTAGCGGCCTATCCTACCCTGATCCTACCCCATAATTCATTGCGCGCCGGTGACGACAGCATTTTTGGTGCAGCATTTGGTGTGTAGCCTACAGTTCAAATTCAAATGTTGGTGTTCAACTATGCCTTTTAAAACCGTTCATTTTTCGTTTTTCAATTATGGGTTAAAAAATTAAAAATGAATGGATGCAAATTTACACAGACTAGCTATTAAACTAAAGACAGTCTAGTGATAGTTTTTTAGATTAAAGTCTTTGATTTTACTAGTATTTTGATTGACTATCAAACCTTTCTACATTATTTTAAATATTTAATAATATAAGGTAGCCTACTTTTGCGTCCATTTGTTTTTCTTTTTTTTTAACCCGTAATTGAAAAACTAAAAATGAAAGGTTGTTGTATTTTTAAAAGCCAAAGTTGAACACCAAATTTGAACTGTAGGCTACACAAATGCTGCAAAAAAAAAAAAAAAAAAAAGACTTTTTGCCCCTTTATTAAACATTTAAAATATTCACAAATTACTATGGGACAAATGTCGATTTTACTGGTTTTCTAAGGCCAGATTAGAACCTGGAAATTATATTTTTCCCGCAATGCTGAATGAGAAGAGCCATGTCTCTGGAACCATGATTTATAGGCTAATAATAAATGTGTCTGAATAAATAACGAGGCATTTTAATTGTTCGTTTAAAAGTGAACATTTCAAGCTTTAGGCAAGGTATATTTTGTTTCAGTTCATTTATGAGACGCGCTCCAGTTCACGGAGATCATGAAAGCGCGACTGATTGTTTTATTTTATTTTACAAAAGCACAACGTTTTCTTGTTATGTGAGTTTGGACAAATAAAAGTAGTTGCGAATGATGTATTATTCTTTTCTGTATGACCAGAAATTATAGAGTATTTTTAAAGTTGTTTCCTGTTGATGGGAAAATGCAAGTGTTCGCGGCCGCGCCTCCGTGCCATGCAGTGCGCGCTCACACTCCCACACACATTTGCATCAAAATCTTGTGTTAATTTGTGATAATCTTAGCCCTGTTATGACTGACATATTATGACTGACATTTGAAGGATTTCTTTGTTCCTTTTTTGGATAAAACCACCTTCTAAATATGTAGCCTAAATGTAGGCTAATAATAATAATATTATTATCATTTGCGTTGAGTTCACTGAAGACAGTAATATGTTAATCATAAAATAATTTATGAATGTTTTATTTTTATATAACCTAACCTTGTGTTTGTGTTATATTTCTTTTTTATATGTGAAGTCTTTTTTTTGCTTATTCTATTATACTGAGCTTTTCTAAAAATTGACTTTAAAGACAAGTGGCCTAAATGTCGTTTAGAAAATTCATGTATTTAACATCCTCAGTAAAATATAAAACATAAAAATGACAATAGCCAATTCTGGCTCCATAGCTGTTTACTCAATTATAACAAATTAATGATCATGACGGCAGCTCCATCTCGCACTGTTGCTTGGCGCCATGGAGCGGTAATCGGGAACACCTGGATGTGCAATTAGGAAATCCTATGAAGGCTACAAGGTGCGTCCTTCGAAGGACGAATAGGCTGCATCCTTCGAAATCCGCGGCCTTCGGAGGATGCAGCCTTCACATTGGGACACAGCTAACATTTATACACAGAGCAAATCCAGGGCAGAGGAATAAACGTAGAAGATACTAGTTAAACTCGAACTCAAGAGCGAATGCCTAGATGCTCTCTTAGACAGTCCTTATGAAAACACTCAGATGCGCATGGGATGATCTCACTGATAGTCCTCGGGATATCACTCACAGATGCATGGGGAATTCTCATACAGACAGTCCTTGAATTAACACTCACGTCAGTCACTGGAGAAGAGGAGTCGATCCAGTATTTCCGTTCATAGAAAACTCTTGAAATGAACAATCACGTTAGATATAGAAATCACCTCGAGCGTGGAGCCGTAGAAACACTCCGAGGC